TTATTATAATTTATAGTTTAAGTATATTTCAACTAGGTTGGCACCTACTTAAATCTTAACTATAATTTACTTGTTCAAAAATTATATATTTTAAATTAAATTTTTTTTTCACGGGCCAGCGGGTTAACCGCGGCCAGTGAAGGTGCAACCCGCGAAGCCCGCGGGTCACACCTTCTTCACCCGTGAACTACCTGCTTGGGTCACGGGTCGGCTCGCGGTCCCTGGTCAATTCGGGCCGGTTTTCACGGGTCTGGCCGGTCAGTCCGTCATGACACCTCTAGAGCTATTACAGTTTTTCAACATAATAAACCGTGTGATATTCATTTGATAATTAAATGACTTGGTTGCTCTAATTAGAACTTCAAAGTGAATAGGAAATATAAAAGATATTTTCCCAACTCCCAATAGCCTAAATCAACAACTCTGCTTCTGCAGTTCCTTTCTATCACTGCTACTGACCATGTGCACAACCACACAAAATACCTTCCCCATTACCACCCCCATAAGAGCATAACCACCATCACCACCTCCTCCGACTACTACCAGTGTTTATTCAAATCCTCATTACATTACTGTCCAACACCCTGACCACTCAAATTCAAATGCGAAACTTTCTACAAAAATCAAATAAATCAAATCTAAACCTGGGATTTCCTCTAACTAATTGAAACCCTCGTACATGTGCAATCCATATCTGAAATCTGCTGGTGGTAGTAATTGTAGAATTTGTTGCTCTCTCAACAATGATATTTAACATTCTCTCGAAACCCCCCAATTGGTGTCATGAGCATCATCAATTGATATTCCTCTGGAATAGCGAATCATAGTACCGAGATATACGATGGGCTCTATCTGGTGAAATTCATTCTGCTAAAATTAGTTGCTTTTCTTTCTTCCCTAGCCAAATCAATTTGATTAGTTTTATGAGTTCATGGGCGTTTCTTTCTCTTCAATTATCAGCATTCGACCTCTTAACAATTGCAGGGTCACTTCTTAATAAAATTGTGTTTCTTATAAACTAAATAAATAACTTGAAGTCACGGTGCAGGAAAGGATAATACATTTGCTGATGATTATGGTTCGCTCTTACTAAATAGATCTCTCAGTTAATTATAGAAGTTACTTCTATACAATCCTGGGTATTTTACCAAGGAAATCTACAGCACTAACATATATATTTCATTCAGGTGCGCCGTATCCAGAGCTTTGTGGAGGCAATGGACATCCTTAAGTCAAAGAACTCCAATCCCTTTCGCAACACCTACAATTCTGTTTCAGTTTCGA